CTTGCAGAATTAAGAAAACGACCAACAAAAGTTAAGTTATATAATGGAAAACGTTAATCAAGGTATGTAAAATTAGAATCCAAAACTGTTTTAAAGCGATGAAGTGTGTTCGTGTTTTTTAAAAATTAACATTTATAAGTCGCGTGTGTTTCGTGGAATAGTACTTGGTAAAGAGTTGCAAAAAGTTATAAATGTGGAAATACTAACTAATATATGTTTATTATGGAATTACTAAAGAACTTCATCCCAATTTGCACGTTTTCTGTAAAATTGCGTTTGTTGCAGCAAAACTGCTGTTTCGGCATGCAAATATTGTTGACATTTGTAGCAGCAACAAAGACTCAGAAGACGAATTTAAGCAGAATATATTACAGAAATTAACGTAAGCATCTTAGATGAATTCAATACTTTGTTAATATCGGTAAAAGTAAAAACCTTCTCCAATTATATTAAAAAACACATGCCATGTTGTAATCGAACTTTAAAGCCATTCAAAAAAACACAAATGTTTTGCTTTTAACATGATTTTTGATGCTGATGGCGATTTTGAGCCGTGATAGCCGTGTACCAAGACAAACTTCAAGCACTGAGTTATATACGCTCATAGCGGAAGCAAAAATAAGAAGATGAGGTAGCTTGAGTACTAGAGTGAAATGTTTTCGCTAATAACTTTTCTAAATATTTACCGATTTGATTGAAATTTAAAACAAAGATAGCTGATTCTATATAAATTACGTGTGAAAAGTTTATATAGCTTTTGAAATGTGCACAGTATTAACGAAATTCTGTAGCCTGGCAAATAAACTCATTTTCAATTATTTATATTTTGTGAACTAACTAAATCGGCCATATCGGTTACATGGCAGCTATATGAAATAGTGGCCCAAACTGAACCAAACTTGGTATGTCGTCTCGAGGTATTAAAACATGCGTACAAACTAAATTTTGGATAAAAATCTTAATATTTCGAGTTTCTGCCAAAAAACGGGCAAAAAAACCCATAGTGCGGTGGTGCTTGGTCAACTACCTGTACCTAAACTGTTCGAAATGCAACTTTAAGACGTTTCACTGGTCCAGACCATATCTAAGTACTTATGCGATTGACAATATACCATTGCAACGTATATCTGCAGTTGAAGATCTTGGAGTTCTGTTTGATCCCAAATTGAAATTTCAATCTTCACATCTCCACTATCGTTAACAAAGCTAAGGGTGTTCTTGGTTATATTAAACGATGGTCCAGAGAATTTAACGACCCCTAAACCACCAAGCTACCTTAAAGTTCTCTAGTAGTCAGTGCTAGAATACTGATTATGTGTTTGGTGTCCTCAGTATAAATTGTATCAGGATCGCATTGAGTCGGTCCAGAAACAATTTTTTCTTTTTTCTCTTCGTGGTCTAAACTGGAATCCTAATCTGCGATTACCTTCCTACTTCAGTAGACTTCTCCTTATTAACCTCCCTTCTTTAGCTCACCGTAGAATAGTTCTTGGTGTTCTGTTCCTCCACAAAATGAGATGTTGATTCCTCTATGCTTTTAGATCGTATCAATTTTTCGGTTCCTTCTAGGCCAACAAGGAACTTTCTGTCACTTCTACTTAACAAATGCACTAGTAATTATGCCATGCACAATGCTTTTCGAGTATAATGCGCTAAATATAATACTTTTTATACTCTGTACATGAAATGTACAGAAGTATATTAGGTTTGCGGGAGCTGAAAATGTAACAGGTAGAAGGAGGCGTGGCAGACCTCACAAAGTATATATATTCTTGATCAGGATGACAAGCCGAGTCGATATAGCGATGTCCGTCTGTCTGTCCGTCTGTCTGTCTGTCTGTATGTACGCAAGGAATTCAAAAAGTATAAGAGCTAGAATAACCAAATATCCAGATTTTCCTTTCATTTTTTCTGATGCACTCCCCACTCCCCCCTTCTTCATGATTTTTTATAACTCCCGTAATTCTTGGAATTTTAAACTATAATTTGGTATTCACATCCAGTTAGTTTATATATCCGTATACCAAGTTTCATTATGATAGGTTGATTAGAAAGAAAATTATAGCCACATAACCAGGCCCAAGCTGTGTCTGCAGCTGTATTTGTTGCTGCTTTGACTTAATTATGTAATGTGAAATGCACACATATATATGTACAAGTACACAAACATGCTTAGACACGATTCTCCAATTCGGATGTGAGTCTGCTCGACCGCCTTGTGGCTACTGATTAGGAAAACCTCGGGTTTTCCTACCGCCAGTTCCAGGCCAACTATTTTGAGCCACCACACTTGTATGCTGCGATTCCACGCGTCTTCCACGATGTTTTTGACTTTTCGTGCCCGTTATCCTGATGACGCGCTGTAGATGCGAAGGAATGCCCTGAGCCGGCAGTGCATTCACAATACAGACCCAGTCCTCCGAGTTGAACGCATTCCTGACGTCCAGAATGACCACCAGGCAGTATTCGTTCGTGCCTCCTCTCCATATGGTACCTGTAATAGCATTCGATGCAATGTTTACCCCTTTGCCTATTGCGTCCAGGGTGGATTTCGGCTACCTAAATCAAAATTGGTTGTGTGACAGCTCAATTTCCTTCAACTTTGCGCCCAGCATTTTTCCCACCAACTTCCCGATGGTATCCAATAGACAGATGGGCCTGTAGGCTTTATAGAAACTAGTCAGAAGTGTCTAATAACGTTTCCGTGGTGGGAGTCAAAACTGGCGTCTCTAGTCTCGCAGGGAATAAAGCCTCCACTATTCTTTAGAGTTTCAACGCATTATGGCTACGTGGTATGGAGTCTTGCTAAAGGTGTAGGGACCCACTATTCAGTAGTGCCAGTTCTAGGCCTGAAAGCGCCTCCTTGGTGATGTTACTGCCCCATTCTATCGACCTTGAGTTAAAGTCGCCCGCTATTATGATTCGGCTACGCCCTCTGATATCGTCAGGGCTGCTGCGTCCAGGGCTGCTGCGTCCAGGGCTGCTGCGAAATCAGAAAGGCTAGCTGACCAGCTCTAACTTCAAAGAACCATAGCGTTCTAGGTCCGCACAGCCACAGAGCAATTTTATCGGACAGGTCAGGGACTCAGCTCTATTAGGAATTGCCAGGCTTATATTTTCTTTGCTTACAGTTTGTAGCAGGAGGTCTTGCGCTGCAATGCAGTGGTTGAGGTTAACCTGTAGAACTTTCAGAATCTTAATTGTCGAACCGCCTCCTCAAATTCTCTGCATTTAAAGCTGCCTGTGCGCATAATGCAAAGTGCACATCTTGGACTGTTAGTGCAATTCCTGGCTGTATGCCCATTATCGCCGTGTCTGTAACAGGAGTCTTTCAGATCCTCGTTAGTGCTAGTGCTTTTAAACCCAGTAAGCGCCCTTGCTTTATTCGTTGTGAGGGAAAGGGTGACTATGTGCTGCCCGCCGTTCACCTTGTGGATTGATTTCAGTGCTTCTGTTCCTATTTTAGATCTCGATCTAGTTCAGTGCAGTATCTCCTCCCTGGTGGCCAGTTCATCCAGTTTACGGATTTCTAATTGAGCCTCGTCATCCAGTGGTTGACGGCTGTTCGCTATTGCGTTATTCGTTCCTACTGGGTTAGCAGTCGGTAGAGGCCACCAAGCGGTGGGACTTGGAGAACGGCCCGTCCGGCCTTTGTAAACTTTGACTTAAGTAAATGCTTTTAAATGGGAATAGATTGGCGCGACTCCGCCAACACATTCTATTCTCTAAATTTGTTATTTAAATTGAATATTTTTACGGTTAAATGACTTAAATACAACTAATATTGCTTCAAAGAGTTTGGTTATTCTAGCTTCTATACTTCCCGAACTCCTTGCTTTTATATAGGAGGACAGACGAATGGACGGACATACGAACGGACGGACATACGAACGGACGGATAGGTGAACGGACGGATAGGTGAACGGACGGACAGACGAACGGACGGACAGACGGACGGACGGACGGACAGGACTTAGCCACTACCACCATCATATTTAAGTTCGATTAGGATAGATAAGAAGATATTGCAATGAAACCAAAGTTTCATCGGCAGCTACATAAAAAAGAAGTAAGGATCAGCATTTCAAATCTATATACGTATATTTCCACACATCAATTTCTTATATAATAAGATAACTAAAATCAGAATCAGATGCTGGGCTTGTTCAGCAGGTCGTAGCGATTTGCGATTTGTGATCGATCATCACCTGCTGACCGCTGTGATTTGTGATTCAGATAAGTAAAAATTTCAATCGAAATCACAAAACACAAATCGGGAAAATATTATGATTACTCGAGTGTCCCGACTTTGGAATACTCTGTATATATGTGTAGAATAATTATAGAAATTTAAAAAATATAAAATGTAATGTTTTTTACCTCCCTTGGTATTCGAACTCACGTAAATGTTGTATAATTGCACATTTACACAGGAATTGTCTCTATGTGAGTGTATGCATGTCTATACGTGCTATATGAGCATGTATGCAGCACAAAGTTCAACCAAAGCAGCTGCAACAACAACAGCTTCGGGCAGCGCTTGAGCAGAGAAAATCTGCATATGGCTATAACTTCCATATGGCATACGGACTTATAATCACTAACTGGAGGTATTTGCAAAATTTTAGTTCGAAATTCCAAGAATTACGGGAGCTATGAAAGATCACCAATTGCGCGGGAGGGGTGAGGGAGGTAAATTCAAAAATACACATTTTCTGCGTATTCATATAAGGCATCTTGGACTAAAATTTGGTGTCCCTAGCTCTTATAGTCTCCAAAATATAAGTGATTATACTAATGGAATATAGGGAAACCCCCCATAGGGGGAAAGTGGGGGCGTATACACAAAAATGTGATGGTGTTTAATTCGGATTATAAGAATATTAAATATTTATTTTTATAGACTTTAAGGAGTATGATCACAGACAAAGATACAAGTATTAACAAGTGTTTTATTTGCTCATGAGTGTACTGAAAACAAGAACTAATTGCATATTTACCTTCGCCCACCTCGTAGCCCGAGCGATTTGGAGAGAAAAACAGATGGGTGCGATAATGAATCTCTTCCTGTTGCTGCATTAGGCCGATGTCGCGTGACCGCTTTGTTCGATTCGCCTTCGACTGCAGTTTTCCGCCGCCACCACCGGACTTATTTGCGCCCTCTCGGAAATTTTTTCGAAACATTAAGTTCATGATTGATTTGATTTATGAATGTGTCTGTGTGTATTATTATTGTATTTTGTGGGTTTGATAAGTTTCTATGTAAAATGATTTACGTTTTTTTAATTTTTTTTAAACAAGTGGCTTTATTGCAGACCTGGTTTGAATGGTTTGAATCTTTACTTTGTAAATGCTAAAATTTTTGAATGTGATATGTTCATTCGAAAAACGTATAGTGATTGTAGTTTTTTTTTTTATAATATTTAGTGCAGTAAGTATTATAGTTTTCAATTTTCTCATACAATTTCAACTGCACTTTTATAACATTGCCAACCAACCATTGCGACGAGGGATGCATTTTAGATTAATATGCCAATTAAACCAATTTTATAATTTTGCTTTTTGTATGGTGATTTGATATTGAATACGCCGCTCTATAGATTTGCGATCATTTTTGATAATAATTGCAATTCGATAAGTTTCTTGTCAAAAAAAAAAAAAAAAAACTGATGCGTGCAGTAGCATACTTATGTGTTAACAAGAATGGAGTGCTAGTCTAGCGGACTCAACACTTCAATAGCATGGAGTGCAAACTAATACAATACAATTACATTTTGTATACTAAACTAATTTAATGGAAATAATATATAAGGTTAGATTAGGTTACACTTTCGCGTATGTTTATATGCAATTTCAATAGCATAAATGTACATCGAGATTTTGTACAAGGTGGCTTCCAAAGTAAACAGGACTTTTTGATTCTAGCGCCCCCTGGTGGCGCTATCTATATGTCGACTGGTGCGTTAGAACCTGCTATTGTTATCGATTTTCCAGTGATTTCATGACATTTCATCAATTGGAAGTGAAGTTATTGCGTTTTAAGTGTCAGTATGTTTGTGTTATCGGTGCGAAAATGAGCTTCGAACAAAGAGCCAAATTTAAATTTTGTATTAAAATTGGTAAAACTTTTACCGAAACGTTTCAATTGATAGAACAAGTTTATGGCGATGATTTCCTATCCCGTAGCAGAGTGCAGGAGTGGTTTTAACGTTTTCAAAGTGGTCGTGAGGACATAAATGACGATCAACATGTGGGCCAAATAAAAATTTGTTATCACCGAAAATTCCATCGAAACTGTGCGTGAATTCATCAAAAATCAGCCGAAATCATCATAGAAATTGATGGAAATGAAATGAATTGGAACTGAAAGGTGTGTGCACGGTTTGTTCCACACAAATTGCCTGACGACCAAAAACGATTGACGATTGACGCTTGGGACCGATTATTTGACCAAAAATCACATTCGTTTCACCATTCGTTCGACATGCTTTTGGATCGTGCAAAAAGCTATATTGAAGCAGAAGGAGACTATTTTGAATAAAATAAATTGATTTTGCCGAAAAAACCATTTCTTCTGTTTTTTTTTTTTTAAGTTATTTTATTATTACTATTTACCTATTTACTTTGGAACACACCTTGTATATGTACATATGTGTATTCGTGCAGTACAAAGATGGGCCAAGATAGCAGTAAAAAAACAAGTAAAAAAACTAAAGTCGGGTGTCCCGACTTTAGCTTTTTTACTTGTTACTAACTGCGGATATTTGCATTTAATCAAATTTTCAAATTTTAGTTCGAAATTCCAAGAATTACGGGAGTTTCAAAAAATCGCGATTTACATGGGAGAGGGGGGAGATAGGGAAATTCCAAAATACACATTTTCTGCGTATTCACATAAGAGGCATCTGGGACTAAAGTTTGGAGTCCGTAGGTCTTATAGTCTCCGAGATATAGGCGATTATACGAATGGAAAATTGGGAAAACCTTCATAGGGGAAAGTGGGGGTGAAAATCAAAAAAATAAAACAAACTTGCACAGCCTACACACATAACGCATCTTTGTGCAAAGTTTGGTGTCTCTAACTCTTATAGTCTCTGAGATCCAGGTGTTCATACGGACAGACGGACAGACAGACAGGGCTAGATCGATTCGTCACGTCATGCTGATCAAGAATATATATACTTTGTGGGGTCAGCCACGCCTCCTTCTGCCTATTACATTTTCAGCTCCCGCAAACCTAATATGCTCTTGAACATTTTATGTACAGAGTATAAAAAGGTGAAAGCCCCTTTGGTGATTCGATCTTAAGCAGGAGCTGCCCTACTTTTGGCTGACCAGCCTTTAAGCTTTAAGCTTCGTCATAAAAAAACAGAAGAAGAAGCTAAAGTCGGATGTCCCGACATTAGCATACTCTGTATGCTTAACAAGATAGAACGCTACAGTCGAGCAAGCCCGACAGTGAAATACCCTGTACCCAGGTAAACTTCCGTCACTGAGGTATATGCGCCTCTAGCAGAAGCAAAAGGAAGAAGAAGAGCGAACTTGATGCTGCAGCTTGTGGGCGTAGTACCAAAGTAAAATTGTTTCGCTAATAACTTTTCTTAGAACTAACCGATTTAGATGAAATTTAAAACAATAGATAATTATATAGAAATAGAGGACGGTATTGACGAAATTCTCAGGCGGTGGAAGGGGGTCGGAATTCCAAAAAATAAAATAAACTCCTCCTGTCTCGGACATAGGAGAATCTGGATACCAACTTTGGTTATTCTAGCTTTAATCGTTTCTGAGATCCTTGCGTTCATCCAGACGGACAGACGGACGGACATGTGTAGATCGATTTCTCTCGTCATGCTGATTCAGAATATATATACTTTATGGGGTCGGAGATGTTTCCTTCTGCATGTTACATACTTTGCACAAGCCTAATATACCATTTTTACCCTACGGGTACAGGGTATAAAAAAAATTAGGCAATTAAGAAAAAAGTAAAAAGAGTTTTGAACGATTTTACCTCCTATGGTATTCGAACTCACGTCAACGTAGTGTGAGTATCTATGCGTGATTGTGTGTGTCTATGTGTATCTCGTGTGCCTATCCAAAGCAGCAACAACAACAACAGTTACTGGCAGTTCTTGGGCAGTGATAACATATATGGCGTTAGCTTGCTGTTAAATCGGCCTATCATAATAAAACTTTGCAAACGGACTTTAAATCACTAAATGGCGGTATTTGCCAAATTCAAAGAATTATGGATTACTTGGAATAAAATTTGGTGCCCCTAGGTCTTACAGTCTCTGAGATAAAGGTGATTAACGAAGCAAAGCAAGCTCCTATAGGGGTTGGCGAAGAAAAACCAGCAGCTGAAGCAAGAGGTAATGGCAAAACCTAATCAAAACAAGATAGAACGCTACAGTCGAGCAAGCCCGACAGTAAAATAGCCTGTACTCTCAAAAAAAAAAAAAAAAAAAAATTAAAAAAAAATTAAAAAAAAATTGAATTATTAAAAAAAATGAATAAATGAATTAATTAATTAATTAATTAAATTAAATTAGAATACATGTTTATGTTCAGTTTTAACAGCATACATTTACATAACGTACCTATGCGTGTATGTATGCAGCACAAAGTTGAACCAAAGCTATTTTATTTATGGCTATAACTTTCTTCACAATTGACCTATCATGATGAAATTTGGCACACGGACACATTAGTACTAACTGGATGTACCTACCAAAATTCCGAGAATTACGGAAGTTATAAGAAAAAACACGAATTGCGGGGGAGTGGGGGGGTGTATCAAAATAAAAAAACAAACTTGACCTGCCTAGGGCTTAGAGGAACCTCGATACCAAGTTTGGTTATTCTAGCTCTTGTACCTTCTGATATCCTTGCGCTCATACAGACGGACGGACGGACATGGCTATATCGACTCGGCTTGTCACCCTGATCAAGAATATATACACTTTGTGGGGTCTGCCACGCCTCCTTCTGTGTGTTACATACATGCGCACAAAACTAGTATAGCCTTTCACCCTTTGGGTACAGGCTATAACAAGTAGAGAAGCTAAGGTCGGGTGCTCCGACTATGAAATACTTTGTACATCTATGTAGAATAATTATGCGTGTATGTGTGTGTCTGAGTATGTCTTTGTATGTCTGCTGCGGGCACTGCTTAGTCATATGTACATATATGGATATATCTTGTTAAATCCTGCTAAATCGTCCTATCCCCCCTACCACCGCTACAGAATTTCGTCAATAGCGTCCACATTTCAAATGCTACCTAAACCAAACTTTGCACACATAATTTATTCAATTCTGTCAATTCTAAGAAAAGTTATTAGCAAAACAAATTCTCGCCAGTACAACCCCCACAAACTGCAGCAACAAGTTCACTCTTCTTCTTCCTCTTTTTGCTGCTGCTATGGGCGCATATAACTCAGTGACGGAAGTTTACCTGGGTACAGGGTATTACACTGTCAGGCTTGCTCGACTGTAGCGTTCTCTCTTGCTTATCTCTTTTTTTACGAGTCGATCTAGCCCTGTCTGCCTGTCTGTCCGCCTGTCTGTGAATACGCAGAAAATGTGTATTTTGGAATTTCCCTACCTCCCCCCTCTCCCATGCAAATCATGATTTTCTCTAACTCCCGTAATTTTTGGAATTTCGAACTAATAATTTGCAAGTACCCCCAGTTAGTAATTTTGTGTCCGTGTGTGTGTATACTCTTTTACCCTTTGAGTACAGGGTATACAAATTTGGTTTTTAATCCAAATAATCTGTAACTAAATACTATACAATACAAAACAAACCAATTATTTGTATTTTTTCACCAATTTTGGAAATTTTGATGCAATACCGACGATTTTTTATTTGTTTTCGTCGTGGCCATGTACGTACAAGGTGTGCTCCAAAGTAAACAGGACTTTAAAAAAATAAACAGAACAAATGTTTTTTTCGTCAAAATTAATTTGTTTTATTCAAAATAGTCTCCTTCTGCTTCAATTCAGCTTTTTGAACGATCCAAAAGCACGTCGAACGAGTGTTTTAGCTCGTCGGCCGGTATGGCCGCCAGTATGCCGGTGCAAGCCTTTTGAATGGCCTCTACGTCTGCATAACGCTTTCCTTTCATGGGCAAATGCATTTTTCCGAAAAGGTAGTCGTACGGTGCCATATCAGGTGAATACGGCGAGTGGTTAATGGTTAAAATGTGATTTTTGGTCAAATAATCGGTCACAAGCGTCGATCGTCTGAGCAATTTTTGGCCGTCAGTCAATTTGTGGGGAACAAACCGTGCACACACCTTTCGTAATCCCAAATGTTCGGACAAAATGCGACAAATCGATGTTTTGGGGATGTTCAATTCCATTTACATCAATTTCAATGATTTCGGCTGATTTTTCATGAATTCACGCACAGTTTCGATGGAATTTTCGCTGATCACAAATTTTTATTGGCCCACATGTTGAACGGTTTTACACACATGGAAAGCAGTTTTCCCTTGAGGCACACACAGCTCTGGTGTACCAGTTAGTACACATATAAATGTGTGCAAATCACGAGGAAGTTTGACAATAAATAAGAGGAAACTTTTGTTTTCTTGTCAAGTAAGTAAAAGCAAGCAAAAATATATATACAAATACTATATATGCACATTAAGTGCACATATCAAGCGTAACTGAGAGAGCAAATTATAAGAGAAAATAAAAGTATATATTATTAGCGTAAAATATATCAATATTCGATGACTCAGCGAGTATAGAGAGAAATCTCAGTGCACGGTCCATGCGGTTGTGGCCTAAGCATATTGTTCTTGACCTTCATTCGTGCGTTTGTTGAAAATATATAAACATGTACCTTAGCCATTTTATAAATAAATTATTGGGCGTTTTCTTGACCGCTAAAGTCACTGAACTATGATGTATCTACATGAATGCTTATCTTGTCTTTTGTCTATTTTTAAAATGAATAAGTTTTACCATTAAAAAACATCACATTTTGCGAAACTTAAAAACGTGCATTCCAAGCGTATACGTAATGGCTTGGCAGAGAGAATACTTAGGTATATAAATATTCAATTTATAATCGATTTTTCATTTATCACTCTGACATTTGGTTAAGTGTTCGAATAACAGCAAAAATTATTTATATAAAACAGAAATATACCGTTGAAGGTTTCTTTAGACTAGTCACACGATTGTTTGTTGCGTATACCACCACCGTCAGCATTTGTTTCGCTCGCAATTCGGACTAATTTATACTGAACTAGCGTTGCAAGCGGATGGTCAGTTGGTCTAAAAAGAAATATGAAAACGTATATACAAGGTGTGTTCCAAAGTAAAAAGGACTTAAAAAAAAAAAACAGAACAAATGGTTTCTTCGGCAAAATCAATTTATTTTCTTCCAAATAGTCTCCTTCTGTTTTAAAACCAAAATTAATTGTTGGCTATTTGTTCAATGCTCATTTTCGACCCGATAACACAAATATACTAACACTTAAAATGCAATAACTTCACTTCCAATCGATGAAATGTCATGAAATTCTCACTGGACAATCGATAAAGATAGCGGATTCTAACGCACCAGTCAACATGTAGATAGCGCCACCAGGGGGCGCAAAATTCAAAAAGTCCTGTTTACTTTCGAACCCACCTTGTATATACTTTGTGGGGTCTGCCACGCCTCCTTGTACTCTTGTACATTTAATGTCAGAGGATAAAAATGAAGAAAATTAAAAACAAAATTTTGATCGATTTTACCTCTCTCGGTATTCGAACTCACGTAAAGGGTGTATAATTGCAAAGAGTGTATGAATGTCTATGCGCGATTATTCGTGTCTGTGTGAACATGTTTGCTGTCAACCAAAGCACCAGCATCAACAACAGCTGCGGGCAGCGCTTGGGCAGCAATTATATTTATGGCTATAACTTCCTGTTTAATCGGTCTATCATAGTAAAACTCGGGAAACGGACACATAATCTCCAACTGGAAGAATTTGCAAAATTTGAGTAGGAAATTCCAAGAATTACAGGAGTTATGTGAGATCACTAATTGTGGTGGAGAGGGAGGAGGGAGGGAAATTATAAAATATACATTTTCTGCGTATTCACATAAGGCATCTTGGACTAAAATTTGGTGTCCGTAGGTCTTATAGTCTCCGAGATATAGGCGAATATACGATTGGAAAATCGGGAAAACCCCCATAGGGGGGAAGTGGGGGGGGGAATCAAAAAAATAAAGCAAATTCGTATAGAATACACACATAAGGCATCTTTGTGCAAAATTTGGTGTCTCTATCTCTTATAGTCTCTGAGATCCAGGTGTTCATACGGACGGACAGACGGACAGACAGGGCTAGATCGACTCGTCTCGTCATGCTGATCAAGAATATATATACTTTGAGGGGTCTGCCACGCCTTCTTCTGCCTGTTACATTTTTCAGCTCCCACAAACCTAATATACTTCTGTACATTTCATGTACAGAGTATAAAAATGTAGTTAATTAATTAATTAAAATAAATTTAAACAAGAAAGGAATGCTAAAGTCGAGCAGGCTCTTTCTTAAATACCCTGAGCAACAAAAAAAAAATGTATTAAATAAATTTAATGAATTTAATTAATTGATTAAATTATCTACGCACAGCCCAAAGTTGTCTTTTATGGCGATTTTGGAAAATTCGAACGCCAAAGGGGGGAAAACGGGCTCCAAAGATTGTATGCAATTTTCATTTGATTGACTTCAAACTGGGTTTGTGTAATCTATAAAAGAATTAAAAAACACTGCATACTTGGTTTTTCACCATTTTCTCTGGGGCATGAAAAAGGGGGTTTTCCCGTGGAAAAATTGAAACACAATCAACACCCCACAGCCCAAACGGCTAGGAATGGATTTTTGTAAATTCGAGCTCCAAAGTTTGTTTGAAAAATCCGCATTTTTCCAAAAATCGACTTCAAATTTGGCTTTTAAAATCTATAAAATAATGCAAAAAAAAAATTTCATACTCGGATTTTTTAAATTAGTGATTAAGCTTGAATTAGTGGGGTTTTAATATTTATTCACTTTTTCAAATGAAACGTTTGTGCTATAAATTTTATCCGATCGACTTGAAATTTGGGTAATGTAATCTACATAACTAAATCTACAACTTTTCCATTCCAGGATTTTCAAATTATAGAAAAACGGGTTTCGCTTTACAAATGCAGGCAAACCAACATAACAGTTGGGGACAACTTAGTATCAGGGTTCGTAAAATGTGCTCGCAACCCGTTTGGGCCCGCGAGAAATTCTGCTGCGGGTTTTTTCGGGTCGCTGCCGACAGAGGCGGCGGGTACGATCGGGTCGTCTGGCAGAGGTAACGGGTCGTGCGGGTACGACGTGCCTCGCGCGGGTCGCTGCCGACAACAGCAGTGTCGTACGAGCCGGTCTGCAGTAGCAGAGCACTCGTTCGTGGTAGGCAGGCATATGTATGTACATATTTATGTGTAATGTGTAAAATTTGTATGATGGTATGCTTGTGTGTATATATTTTTTTAAGGCGAAATGTGTTTCAGCTTGACGCAGCTGTTTTGCCTACGTTTGCACAGTGGTACCTGATACTATTTTTAAGGATCCGTGGCGTTGCAACTTGGCGTAATTTAAAGGCAATTTTTTACCTATATACTCCTATACCAATAAAACCTGCAGTCAAATCTTATACTTCATTCACATAACGGCACCTGCAGCGATTCACATATGCTAGTGTATTTTTATGGAGGTGCACATACGTATGTAAATTAAGGCGTAAAGATTTGTTTTTGTAACCATTGTTTCTATTTAAAAGGATGTTGGCCGGGACAGTTATTCAGTTTTTTACAAGATTGAAAGTGTTGAAGACGCATTACAACTTAAAACAAGTAAAAAAGCTAAAGTCGGGTGTCCCGACTTTGAAATACTCTGTACATATGTTTACAATAATTATAGAAAATAAAAAAAATAAGAAAATAAAAAAAAATTCAATGACCGATTTTACCTTTCTCGGTATTCGAACTCACGTAAAGGGTGTATAATTGCACATTTACATAGCAATTGCGTCTGTGTGAGTGTATGTATGCCTATGCGCATCTATTCGTGTGTGTAAGCATTTTCGCAGTCAACCAAGCAGCAACATCAACAATAGCCGCGGGCAGCGCTTGAGCAGCGCTGCAGCAGCAAATATATTTATGGCTATAACTTCTTGGTAAATCGGTCTATCATAGTGAAACTTGGCATACGGACACATAATTACTAACTGGGGGTATTTCCAAAATTTTAGTTCGAAATTCCAAGAATTACGGGAGTTAGAGAAAATCACATTTGCGGGGGAGAGGGGGGAGGGAGGGAAATTCCAAAATATACATTTTCTGCGTATTCACACAAGGCACCTTGGACTAAAATTTGGTGTTCCTAGGTTTTATGGTCTCCGAGATATAGGCGATTATACGAATGGAAAATCGGGAAAACCCCCATAGGGGGGAAGTGGGGGGGGAAATCAAAAAAATAAAACAAACTCGTATAGAATACACACATAACGCATCTTTGTGCAAAATTTGGTGTCTCTATCTCTTATAGTCTCTGAGATCCAGGTGTTCATACGGACGGACAGACGGACAGACAGACAGACTCGTCTTGTCACGCTGATCAAGAATATATATACTTTGAGGGGTCTGCCAAGCCTCCTTCTGCCTGTTACATTTTTCAGCTCCCGCAAAAATAATATACTCTTGTACATTTCATGTACAGAGTATAAATCTTACCAAATATTTAAATACTTCTTTGTTAGTGGAAAGCAGTAGTAGTAAAACTGTGACGTGCAAGATGTGCCAAAAATCTGTGATAAGTCGTGTCCAAATGTATTAAGCGATATTTTAATAGCGAAACTAAATGCGGAATTAATAAACGAAATTTCTTTCGAATAGTAAAAAATATTTTAGTAACAAGTTTATTTATTTGCAAATGATCTTTTTATTTCTTATAGCCAAAAAAATCGAATGACATTCATTCAGAAATCTAGTATCAGGTACCACTATGCAAACGCAGACAAATCTGCTGAGTGAGGCTATAAGGGATGAAATGCATCGCGCACATTTTGCCTTGAAATATATACACGCAAGCATACCATCATACAAATTTCACACATCACACATACATATATACGACCCGATCGTACCCGCGGCCTCTGTCGGCAGCGACCCGAAAATACCCGCGGCAGAATTTCTCGCTGGCCCGAACGGGTTTTGCCGGCATTTTACGAACCCTGCTTAGTATACATACACACATACAAATAGCCAAAGCAAAATGTGAAACACTAATGTGTGAATTAATTAATTTATTAATTAAAAACGATTTAACATTTTAATAAGTAGTTTTTTTTGTTTAGTACATTTGACATTATTTATTTATTATTTAAACCTGCGTACGCCCTTGACGGACTACACATACACGGTTCTCTACGTACGGTTAAAACAGTAAAGAGAAACAAAACAAAACCAATGGATGCATACATGTATTTACATACATGCATACATATGTACGTATGTATATGTTTGTATATATACAGTGGACCATCGAACACTGTTATTTAATTGTAGTAAATAGTTTTATGTGATTTTAAATCATAAATGAAATTTTTAGAACGAAAATCAACAACGGCAACTGCAAGTCGTTGGCACGCTCTTATTCTTTCGTTCACATTTTTTGATCATCTACGCCTTTTTATTGCAAAGGCAAAATGCCAAAAAATTTACAGTTACCGTCGCTAGGCAACGACTGAGTAGGCGATAGAAACCAAGTAATCGCATTGCAGGCAGATGTATGTATGCATGCACATACATACAAGGTGCGTTCCAAAGTAAACAGGACTTTTTAATCTATCGCACCCTGATGGCGCTATCTATATGTCGATATCTGGTGCGTTAGAATCTGCTATCTTTATCGATTGTCCAGTGAGAATTTCATGACATTTCATCGATTGGAAGTGAAGTTATTGCGTTTTAAGTGTCAGTATGTTTGTATAATCGGCGCGAAAATGAGCTTCGAACAAAGAGCCAAATTTAAATTTTGTTTTT